ATCTACATATTAACATTCTATGATTTATCCACTAGGACAAGCAGATCTCTCTACACCAGAGCTCTGCACCCTCTCATCTAGATAGTTTGCTATTTCTTTAAAAAACTCTTTCTGCCAAAATGGACAGTCTCACACTTCCTCACATTGTACTCCATTTGCCAGATTTTTGCCCACTCATTTAATCGATCCATATCCTTGTAGGGTCATCTTCACAAATCACTTCCGACCTACATCAATCCTACCCACTCATTCCCAACAACTTTGTAGTTTGCAACTACTGTTGGAGGGAATGTTTAAATGAACTTGACTGAAAAACAGGAACCAGGGTATAGCATTAGAAAGGATGCACAAGGTACCCAAGAATTGAAAGAAGCAGATATCTTACTATTTTAAAAATATAGAGCTATGAGGTACAGTCAGATTAAGGTGTAAAGTAGATTTAGAGAGCATCATTACTACCCCATGAAAATGTGGTAAATAAGGTCATGGAAGTCCAGACAGAAATAGCCTCGTGGGGATATTATACCATAATGATAACGGAGACTTGGCTCAGGAAAAAAAGGACAACATTGGCTTTTAAAAATTCCTGGATACAAGGTGTTCGGGAAAGTTAAGAGATGGAAACAAAAGTGACCAATAATTAAATAGAACACTACAGGGCTGGAGAGATGTCCTGAAGTAGTCAAGGACTGATCCCATTTTGTCAGAACTAAGCAGGAAGAAAAGCGTCATTACACTATGTTGTGTACTTTATAGGCCACAAACTAATGGGAAAGACATGCAGAATAATTTTTTTGGCTAACTTAAAAAGATGTCCAAAAAGTAGAGAATAGTGATAATAGGAGGCTTTCCTAATATAGATTGAAATTGCAATAATTGTAAGGCACTGAGGGGGGAGAAGAATGGGTGAGATGTAATCAGGAAAATTTTCTTGACCTATACATTTCTAGTCCAATAAGGAAACAGGCTTCGCTGGATCTGGTTCTGGGAAACAAGGCGACGCAGGTGGATCAAGTATCAGTTGGTGAACTTTGATCATAGTATTATAAACTGTAGATTAGCAATGGAAAATGACAAAGAACAAACTAACTTTGAGACTGACAGATAGCATGAAAGAGAATTCAGAAATCTTCTACAAGCATCTCAACAGCCAAAGGGTGGCAAGAGAAAGATCAGAACTAATTAAGATCAGAAAGGGGATCTACACACGAAGACAGAAACCATGGTTAAATGGTCAATAAGTGCACTGCAATCCTCTTTAGCAAGTGCCACCAAAGTCATAGTGAAAAACGAAGATTGTTGGGATACTAGATTGTACATGTTGGTAAAAACAAAAAGGAGGTACTGAACATGCTGGCTGATCTTTAACGTTACTAAGTCAACAGGACGAGATGAGAGGAAAATGCTATGGTAAGGCAGTCTAGAAATTGAGGAGATACTGACCATAATCTTCCAATCTTTCATAGATACAGAGATGATGCCAAAGGGCAAGAGAATTTCAAACTATTGTTCAAAAGGGGATGCAAGAACAAACACAACAGCTACATACCAATTAGTTTAACTTTATTGGTGGTAAAGCTTTTCAAAGTAACAAACTGGGACAAAATTAACAGCTACTTGTACAAGTGCAAGTGAATTGGAGAAGGCCTACAGCACAGATTTGTTAAGGGCAAATTGTTTTAGCTGACTTGACTGAGTGTTTGATGAGGTGACAAAATTGTCTGAAGTCAATATCTTTGATATGGTGTGTCAAAGCTTCCAAAAATCTCAGATACAGATTTTGGCATGCAGGGCACAATTTCAAAAGTTTCACATGGCAAATATTTCAAATTACTGTGAACCATGCGGAGGGCAGTAACAGTCTTCAAAAAGGATTCTGGAAGGCAGATGAAGTCCACTGACATTTCGTAAATTAATTTTATCACAGAAAACTTTGAAGATGGCAAGGCAGGTTGAGGAAAGGTTTAGGAAAAGTGAACTTTATAACAGGTACACAGAGTACACAAGCAAGTTTCCAAAATATTGGTTTAGCCACAACTGGCGAACTGTGCCTAATCTGGGCACGGCACTTTAGCAGTATGAGAAAAGTCTTTTGTATACTCTAAGATTAAGAGAATGGCTCCAAGGAGGAGAGAATTTAGTTAAGTCAATACAGTATTTTCTTCTCCTGAGAGAAAATCGATAGGAGATTTGATAAAGGTGTTCAAAGTCATGAAGGATTGAGGCACAGTACAGAAAAACCCATCTCAATAGTGGAAGGGTTCAAAAACCAGAGGACGCTGATTTAAGAAAAAGAGCAACAGAATTAACATTGACATGCAGGCAAACAGTAATGCAAGAGGTAACAATGAAACTGGATAACTGGATAACTGGATAACTAAGGTAGGCCAAGTAGAAAAATCATCAAATTCACATGGGATGCTTCACAGATCACTGCGCATAAAACTAAGATAGCAGAGGCTGTTCCGTAATCTTCTAGTCCTCCTTGAAATAGCAGTACTGACTGAAGAATTAGAAACGTTACCACCCTGATCCAAAATGGAGAGAGATGAATCTGATAATTCCAGATCAGTCAGTCCAATGGCAGTAAAGGGAAAAGTTTGGGAGACATTAATCCAAGACAAATTTAATTGTAACTTGAAGAAATATAGATCAATCAGCCAGCACAAGTTGTTAAAGGTAAATCACGCCTGGCTAGCTTAATTGAAAATTATCACCAAACAGAGTCAGAGTTACATAGCATGGAAACAGACCCTTTGATCCGACTAGTCCATGCTGACCATATCCCCAAATTAAACTAGTTCCACCTACCTGCATTTGGCCCATATCCCTCCAAACATTTCTTATTCATGAACTTATCTAAATAGTTTTTAAATGTTCTAACTGTACCTGCATTCACCACTTCCTCTGGCAGTTCATTCCATACACTAAAAAAAAGTTGCCCCTGATGTCTTTCTAAATCTTTCCCCTCTCATCTTTAAAAATGCCCCCTAGTTTTGAACTCCCCCCACATTAGGGAAAAGACTTCTGTTATTCACCTTATCTATGTCCCTCATGCTTTTATAAACCTCTATAAAGGTCATCCCTCAACCTCCTACATTCCAGGGAGGAAAGTCCCAGTCTTTCCAGCTTATTTTTATAACAAATCCTCCATTCCCGGCAACATCCTGGTAAATCTTTTCTGAACTCTCTCCAACTTAATAATATCTCTTCTACAACAGGGAGACCAGAACTGTACACAGTATTTCAGAAGAGGCCTCACCAACATCCTGAACAATCCCAACATGATGGCTCAACTTCTCTATTCAATGGTCTGAGCAATGAAGGCAAATGTGCGAAAGGCCTTTTTAACGAGCCTATCTACCTGTGATGCAAATTTCAAAGAATACGTACCTGAACCTCTAGGTCTCTCTCTGTTCTACAACATTATCCAGGGCCCTACCATTGATTGTGTAAGCTTATTTAGTGTTAAATAGGCTAATTAGCAAACTTGAAGTCCATTGATTGAAACAGTGTGGACAATAAATTGACTAAGAAGGCAGAGTTTAGTTTTGCATGGTTGCTTTTCAGGCTGGTGGGAAGTAATCACTAGTATTCCCCAGGAATTGGTATTTGCACCAATACTCCTGATATGTTATTCATGATATGGACTTGATTATACAGGGCATAATTTAAAAGTGCACAGATGATACAAATCTCTGAAATATAGTAAACAGTAAAATAATTCAAGAGGAAAGAGATTGGTGAAATAGATGGACACATGGATCATATACTTAACACAGAACAGCATCAAGTGATGAGTTCAGGTAGAAGTAATGGAAAGTATAACCAACTAGAAGGTTAAAATTTTAACTTGGGTGCAGCAACAGAGCAACTGGAGTTGAATTTACATAAATGTTTTAAGGTAGCACAGAAATTAAGATAAAGTATGCTAACTTTTGTAAATCTTGTTTAGGCCTCAGCTGAAGTATTGCCTCCAACTCTAGGCACCACAAAAAAAGATTGTGAAGGGGTTGGATCAGCTGCAATGAAAATTTACTAAAATGGTCCTAGGGATGAAGGTCTTCCATTACTTGGAGATATGAGTGAAGCATAGAATCCTAGATCCTACAACACAAAGCCATTTGGCCCACTGTGTCAATGTCCTGCACCAGCAATTTGCCTAGAGCCACTTGCCCACTATTTTCATAGAGTCCAGCAAACTTTTACTTTTCAGATGTTAGCAATATTGTCCATACAACAAAGGAGATTAAAGGAGAGATTTAAATGGTGTAATTCTTAATGATGAATGATTTTGATAAAGGTGAATAAGCAGAAGCTGTTATTAATGACAGCAGGATCAGTAACCACAGGTCATGGATTTAAGATATTTGGCTAAAGAAGTAGAGGAAAGCTGAGCAGCACAAGTTAAGAAGATCTGGAATGTATTTCCTGAAAGAGAGATAGAAGCAGATTAAAAGTATAATCAGCAAAAAGGGAACTGGATACAACTTCAACGCAGAAAACTGCAAGGTGACAGGTGAAGGATGGGCCTGGGATTTATTGAGATTTATCCTTCAAAGATCTGGCATAGGCACAATGGGCTCCCTGTGCCAGACCTTTCAGCAGTGAAACTAGGAAACACTTTCATTTGCAAAGGGTGGTAGATGTTTGGAACTTTTTCATAAATAGCAACTGATGATAGATCCATTGTTAATTTTAAACCTGAGATTGACAATACCTTTGGTTAACCAAACATTTAAGGTACATGGAGCTAAAACATACTCATGGTGTTAGATCACAGATCTATTATAATCTCACTGAGTAACAACAAAAGTTGGAGAGATAAGCAGCCAACTTCTGCTTCTCTGTACCATTAGATGGAATAAAGCGTGAAAAAGTAGCAACTTCAACAAGCCCTTCCGAACTTAAGATTTCTAAACAAAGATTTTCATCAAATGGATAGAGGTGTTTTTGTGCTTCGATGCTACAAAGGCCATGACACTAAAAAGAGTACTTACATTGGAGACACACCCGGAAGCATCTTCTTGAGGCATGATCCTAGGTTCCCCACTACTTCATTCACTTCTTCTGAAGAAGTTAGTTTCAAAGGAAAAGTGCATCGATCGGTTTCTACAACCAACTGAAAAACATCAAAACAACGTGTAAGCATTTCAGCACCACCCAAGTAAATCATGCACAAATTAGACAAACCCACAATGGAAACTAAGTACCTATGTACCTTGAATTATGGTTTTCTGCTATCCTTTTTCTTCTTACATCCAAAATTACAAGTCTGCTGGGTTGGCCTCACAGTAATATTTCGCAACAGGCTAACACTTTTTTTTTTTTATAAATGCCTTGATGTGATAACCCATCCCGAACTGCCCAGACAGCAGTTAAGAGTTACACTAAGTTCTGCAGAACGGTCACTGATCCTGAAACATTAACTCTGCTTTCATTCCACAGATGCTACCAGACCTGCTGAGTTTTCCCAGCAAATTTTCTTTTGAAGTTGGTGACATTCTTGTGTGCATGTTGCTGACACTGGATTTACAGCAACATAAAAGCAGTCCAAAGAGTTTATTGTAATAACTAAATGCTTAAACAGGTGTGCCTTATTAGCAGTACCTTCTCTCGGGAGTGTGTAAAAAAAAGTAATTGACTCCTCCTTCTCTTCAACTGCTACTAAAGTCAATCAATTCTGGAGCCTGGAGATACCCATCAGGTCTTCACAGATGTGAGATGACATGTTGTGGGAACTTTCTTCTGAGTTTTGGACCAAAAGCATTTCACAATCAGAGTCAGAGTCAATTTCCATCAGGTGACCCACTGCTACTGATATTTTATTCAATAGAACACTTAACTGGTCTCATCAGCTTTCCTTCATTAAACTGAAGGCAGGGTCAGGGAGTCCATTGGCTGTGTTTTGGACTAAGCTTTGACAACGGCAGGTATGACTTCCATGTAGGAGAGCTGTATAGTGATGCTCATTCAAGGGCAAGACCCCACTCATTAGGATTCTATTCAAAACTCTGATAGTCTCGTTGTAATTGCAAAGAACACCTGATACTCCCCTCTTTGGCAGCCACCTTAATGGTTCATTAATGTCTATTTTCTTTAAAAGTAGAGTTTTAATAATGATAATACCTTCTCGTCTTTACTGGGCATAGGACATATAACAGGACACTTGCACAATGCTAAAAACTTTGAAAACCAGAACTGACTAACTGTGATTCACTAAATTTATCCATGCAAAATTAACCAAATGTGGAATGAAATAAAAATTGTGACCAAATTACACTGTTTATAAAAGATACACAGATTGTTTTTCCTAATTCAAAGTGAAGGTGACCTCAGTTTCTCTAGTCTGGGAATTTAGCACAGTACCAGAGTAAATGCCATCAGCTGCTTCACAAAAATAATGTGCATTTTAAACAAGTCATTCCCCAAATTCATTGTAACCTGGACAATACTCAAATAGAATGTGCAACTCAAGGAAAGAAAGCATTTTCTAATCAACTTCAAAATGGCATTACACCGGATTTATCACAAGTGAAAGCAATGAAATGTTTTACAATTATACCATCATTGGGTCAATTTAACTTTGGAACACTGCTATTGTGAAATTACTTTTTTTTAATACCCATTACAGCTTCTCATCTCCATTCTCAGAGTTTTGCAAAACCTCCTCCCAAACATTTGATCAACGAAACATTTGTAAGTCTGTTCATCCACATTTGCCTCAAGCCTCATTAACTTTTTCCTTGCTACAACCAACAAGCAATCAAAACTGGATCTAGCAGTCCCCAAAGTCATAAATTTATAAAGAAATATTGTGGGTAGATATGCTAATTGTTTCAATACAGCCAAGTATCATAAGCAAACCAAATGCCTTGAATCAAAAAAGTGCTTCTGTTTAGAGTATGCAAAGCACAGACAAGTATCCTCCAAGATCTATTCTTCAGAATAGATTTAGATGTCCTCTGAGGACATGTAATGAAGAAATATTATACTGATATCAGCAATGCAAGCTGTAGTAAGCTTCAAAAAACTGTAAAAGGCTTTAAATTAGAATGCTGAGGGAGTTGTTCAGCTGACGATTCATCAGATCTTGTCTCAAATAATCCAGAGTGAATAATTTTAATGGACTTTGTAAAGTAGCGCTTGCAAAATAGAAGTATTTAATTAATTGCCTTTATCAATATACATTGCAACAGAATTTTCTGCTTTTGCAGTTCAAAGCGATTTGTTTCATGGCCTAATTGAAAACCAGGCCATCAAGTTCTCTTTCAATTACACCACAGATGGTCCAGACAGGTTATTGTGATGTGTTGGCTACGGAGGGTTAGCCATCAGATCAACGATATGGCCATTGTGTACATCTTGAAATTAAGTCAGAGTAACGAACTTAACCTCACAATGTATAATAATGATGTGCAATTCCAAATGATTACGTCAGAATCACAGGATTAAGTACAACAAGCTGGATAGCAGCAGAAGCTTGAACCAACTACTGAGAAAATATGCTCAGATCAAACTGTAAATAAAAAAAGTTCCTGAAGCAGTATTATTGAGGGAGAGTAAACAAAGTTATATACCAAATTCCGAAAATTGTAGACACTGTTGCAGAGCAGAAAACATGGGCAGCTAATCTGTATCCAGCAAGCTCCTAAACAGCAATGTGATACTGAACAGTTTTGTTTTGATTGATTGATTTATTGTCACGCACAAAATACAGTGAAAAGCTTTGTTTATGAGTGGTATGGGCAGATCACATCAAGCAAAAGATGCACAGATCAAAGAATTAGAGGCATGCAAGTTACATTATTTGAGGCTACAGTCCGTTCAACAGTCTGATAACAGCTGGAAAGAAGCTGTTCCTGAACCTGCTTGCGCCTGTTTGGGCTTTTGATGACAACGGTGATGGAGGGATAAATATTGATGAATAGATCAGGGATAAATATCTTGCTCTTCTCCAAAATAACGTCACAGCATCCTTTGTATCCAACGGAGCAGGTGAGTGGGGCCTTGGGTTAACATTCCATACAAAAGACAGTACTACCAATGGAGCAATGCTACCACAGTATTGTACTTGAGTGTTGGCCTTGATTTTTTTTGTGCTCAAGCCAAGGTGGGAATTAGAGCCAGAACCTTGTGATTCACAGCTAAGAATTGACTCCATATCTGTAAACATAATAGCCAAAAGGGCACCAGCAATCTGAGAAAGGGGAGGAATCAAAGGTGGATCCTGAGGCATAAGAATGGTTGCTGATACATCCAGTCTTCATTACTCTAAAGTTGACTTGAGAATACTGTTCTCATTTTGGTTGTCAATAAGAATGTTGTGCTCGAATCATTTTCTACATGTGATGCGGTTACTTGGTGTTTCCTGTTCTGGTACATTCCCGATTTGGCATCTGTTTCTTCACATTGTCATATCGTTGCATGGTAATATCAATATTATCGCGGTTCTGGACAATGCTTTGCGAGTATTACATCGTCTATCAGTTTTGTATTATAATTATACTTTTTCTTCAATGTTTAATTTGGGCAATTCTTTGCCTGCATTCTTCCTCATGCATCCTTCATTCTCCATGAATTGATTTCCTAACTCTTAGAAGTATCAAGAAATTATGACTGGGAAGAGTTATTTGTACTTGTCTGCCAAAGAATAATTCTGCTGCTGAAGAAATATTTGCACTGAGTATTGTCAATGTAAGACATAGCCCTGTGACATGCAAGTTTTGTTCAGTTTATTTTGCCAACGTTTTATAATTGACTACACCACAATACAGATATATTATTAGATGAGGTAGTCTGGTCAACTCTTCACTTATTGCACATTTTCCTGAATGGTCTTTCAGTGTACTGTAGCCTGTTTTTGAAACAAGTTCTTGTTATGTCCTTGGAAGAGGCTTCACACTGGAGTAATACTCACTCAGATAGCTTCTGAAGAAGGGTCCCAACCCGAAACATCAACTTTCCTGCTCCTCTGATGCTGCCTGGCCTGATGTGTTCTTCCAGCTCCATACTGTTATATCTTATGTCCTTAATAGGCTGAACTCTATGCACCAAATCTTATATTTTTTGGCTCAGCAACAGTTGTGGTCAGTTTTTGGAGGACTTTTCACTGCGAGACTTAGCAAGATTTCTCACCATATCTTACTTTAGCCCACCTCATTAACCATCTACCCCATTCCATCTTACCTTGTGCCATTCCCAGAAATTCAATGGACATCTGCCAAAAGGCCAGCATCCTTTACATATGAGCCATCTTTAAAAAAGGTGCTGATTACCAAGACATGCACTAACAACTCATCATTATTCCTCACCAGCAACATAATGGTACAGCAGCCACAAATTCATGCTGCCCATGGCACACAACCAGCATGGCTGACATTCTCTCACACATGTAACTCATTCTCTCATGGCACTTGCTATTTAAACTATTTGGCCCAAAAGGATGACCTGCCCTTATCTACATCCCATTTAAATAACCTCTCCAAACCACTGACTTCATCCCCAATGCCCACTGAAGACCCATAATTTGTTATTGTCCAGTAGGGGATCATCGCACACTTATTGGCAATTGGACAATTTCAAACATGAGCTTTTAGTTATATCCCAGTTCCTCAAGATAGAGTACATCATCTCATTGCCTGCTCCAATTGGGCAGAGCACATCACACCAGGATGCTGTGGCTCACACATGGTCCAGACTAAACTGGAGTGAACTTCCCACCCACTTTTCAGTGAGGTTCATCATCTTACTTAAGTGACATTTGCTAAACCGATGATTCCTTCCTCCCCAACACCCTTTGAAGTTTCAAAGTGATGGGTCACTTTTGGCCAACGTTTGCTTCTTTTCAAGTCATTGTTGCCAATTTCTGCATCACTGAGATGGCAATGCTAGATATGTATGACCCAATGTCATGGAGCAAATCACCTTTGACCTTCTTTAGAACCCTAAGCACATTCAATCTGTATGCATTGCAAATGGGAAAAAAGATGACTGCACATTAAATATGGCTGGAGTTTGCAAATGCATGCTTCATGTATTTTAACGTTCAGTGTCCTAGCAACCAATAGACGTGGATAATGTGCATTCACCCAAATTGACACCAACTCTGCCTACCCAGGG